GTGTCATCTGCACGGATGCAACACCTCCGTGTGTGCACAGGATGGAAACTTCGGCGGCATCATTAGTCTGTCCGAGGCGGCCAAGCTCGCGTAATCTATATAATAATAGACGTTAACTAGTTCGGACCAATACGAGGAGTCGATAATACCGTGGCCATCTGCTGCCTACTTTATCGCGAAACCCTTCTGCATACTTGTCGCAACTTCGGGCTACGTATTCCGTGGGCCGGAGAAACAGGTGTTCCTTGATTATGGCTGCCGGTGTAATCGTTGTTGTTTATCGGTGTTAAGAGAGGCACGCGGTAAGTTCTATTCGTGACTTTGTATCCGCGTCGCACAAAATTTATCGGCAAACTGATACAACTCGCGATAATTCTGCAACTTCGACGGTAGACGATCTATCGCGGAATCGAGCTAAAATTGTAACGGAGAAACACGGGGTATTCTCATGAAATTTTCCTCGAGACTTCAATTACCACCATTTTGCTTTCAATATTAATCGCTCCACGTCCAATTTCGTGCGCTGATTTCTGTTGGGTTTTTCTCATCACGCGTTACGGGACATCGCGAAATCGCTTACTGTAAGACACTGATAATCAAAAATCCCAGATTTGTAATCGATTTTTATAAAGTAATTTCGCGATCCACGAGTATTCGAAGATCGCTCCAATTTCTCTCCGACAAAGATCGAAAGCCGCATCTCGATCGCGTAGATCAAACAGAGCATGTCGTTACGGATCCGAGGAACTACTTATGCTCGTTGAAGCTTCGCGCTACGCTGCTCAGCGTAGACAGGGTCAAACGATCCGGAAACGGAACTGGCGGAAACACTGAACAAATTCCAGCCAGCTAAATACGGCTCTCGTAAACGTTCCGATAATTCGTAACAGTTGGCGGAACGGCGCGAGGTCGTGCAACATGATCGATACACCTGCGGCGAACAGCGATGCCCGACACTCGATAAAGCGGACAGAAAAGTTTTCGAACAGGGAAAGGCGAAAAGGAGAGACGGCGGAGGCGATATGATATCGAGTAGAGCAACGATTCAAACGTTTGGAACTTTGCCAACCGGGGTGGTACGTATACGTACGTGAACACGTTGGATGAAAGGGTGGGCCGCGGAAGGGAGGAAGGGTAACACAAGAGGAGTCTTGCAGGGAGAAAAGCGGAAAAAAAGAAAATATAGGTATATTTGTCGCGACTTTCATTGGCGAATATGTACGTTTATATGGAGAGGTGTTCGACGAGGTATGAATCGGTGAAAACGTGATAGGAGATATATGTCCTTGTCAATTTATTTGATAATACGCGAATCAGTCTTTTTGATGTTTCGTGACGGATATCGGAGAGCTGCTTTGTCGATGGGATTTAAAGGTATGGGAGTTATATAGGTTATAACACGGGTCATGATACAGCAGGCTCGTAAATTAAATCATCGAGCGAGTAGACGTCTTGGGACTAAAGCCTACTTAGGGTCGAGGCTTGTATTTCCTTTAGGGTTCCATAAAACGAAAGAGTGGCGATTTACGACTGAAGGTATTTCGAGTAGGGAAACTCGAAATCTTAATTGCTACTCGTAGCAATTTATTGATTGGGTGTCAAAAATTTCCGAACGATCCGGAACTCGTGCTGTCGTCGAAGAATCAAGCGTCACAGAGTAGTCTTATTTTATTCCCACAGGTATAAATAACACGTGTATCGTTGTTATCGGCGAGAAAGGGAATAGGAGTCGAGACGTGTTTGAAATTGAACTTGGGAACCAGGGAAATTTAAAACCGTCGAGAAGAGAAAAAGCACATGGACGGAAGTAGGCGCGAAAGTTCAGTGACCAGTGTTTTCAAAGAAGAAACCCGCTCGCCTCCAATTACCGCGCTCGAGAACCCGTTTTCGCGTCTGCATAATTCATGAGCTTCGGAAGCGGGCTACCGTATAAATCCCGAAATTCCGATAGCTCGATTGCCGCAGCGAATTCCGTGGGAAAACCTAACGAAAGGCACTCTGCCGCGCTTCGAAAACAGAGAAACCTAGAAAAAGAGGCGAAAAATAGCAGACGATCAGGAAATCCAAGTAAACCGAAGAAATTAATATACCGAGATCGAACGATATCTCGAAACATCCGCAGTGACAAGGTCGTGACAGCTCCCTGCGTCGAGTAATATCCTGCCCTTTCTGGCCACGCGCAATTAGCCAGAAAAGAGAGAAAGCGGGCACGCCCGAGGTCTCTTATTAACCATTTCGTTGTTATCGTTATTGTAGCCGCGCCACAATTTCGGCAGAATTACACGGAGCCTACTTTATTTTAATTATTCTTTTATGCCGGCCGCTGCGCGGTACCATTCGCGGTGGCGGTGGCGGAAAAAGCAAAAGGGACACAGAGCGACTGGGTTACGCGGGGGTGTGGGAACGGGAGCGCGAAAGGGGTGCAGAGAAGGACTAAGCGGACACGGCGGACGTTGGAAGAGGACAGGGGTTAGGGAGAAAGGAAGAAAAACTGGCCGGCGGCGTAGCGACGCCTTTTATTTTCGTTGTTCCACGGGCAGCGCCGCGTGTACGCGGCCCTTTCCAGCAGAATTCAGAGATCCGCCGCCGCTGTGGCCGGCATTTATTGCGGCCACCCCCAAGGGTGCATTTATATTCATAAGCATAATGGGGCATCGTGACGTATACGGTCGCGGCACGCTCCGCTCTGTCCCTCCGCTCTTTCATCATTATTAATTCCACGGGGCCCCGTTACCGCCCTCCGATTCGCCCTCTTTCGTCTTCTCCGTCGCCGACTTTCCTTCCAACCACCCTCTGCCACCCCTTCTCTCACGATTCCGCCGACTCCGTCGAGACTTCCGCGGTGGTTTCTCCTTCTCGACACTCTTTATTCGCCGCTCCTCGCCGAACCACCATAATCTACCCTTCGGCTTCTTCTTCTCCCCGATCCGTCTACGCCACGTCGCGACGCGTCGTTTTACTCGCCGATCCATCCCATCTCGCGCTACTCGCGCGCCGTGCCGTTTATTAACTTTGCAGCCATGCACACCCTCGCTGGATGTCGCGTAACCTCACGAAGGCGAGTCGTTCGCCACGGGAACATTCTAATCGATATGCGATACCGTGTGTTGCATGCAGGCCGCGGCACGGTTGCGTCAAGTACGCGAGAGGGATGCCCGATCAAGCCCTCCCGGCAAATGGCCGCCCTATTATCGGCTTTACATATGTACGGACTTCCTTTTTCGAAAAAACACTGGTCTCCGCGAAGGAGCTGTCGGATTCCGAGCACGTCTCGCGAGTAGGGCGAGTTACTCCTCTCGCGAGGACACGAGGAGAGACTTCGTAAAGTCTCTGGGTTTTGGAACGGGTCTGGCCTAGAAGAGCCTATAATTGCTCAAGCGGAAGACTAACGACGAAAAGGAACGTTTCGTTCCCGATGTCCTTCGCGTTTAAGCATCTCTGTGCAACGTACGGGGTTGCGACGCCTGCTTGGACGTCGAGTCGCGATTCAAATTTTCCGTATAAATTATACAGATCACCGATATTCCTAGAACACGCGCGTACGGCATAATCCGCCACGCTAATTATTTTTCCTAGGCGTGCACGCGAATTAATTCGCAGCGCTGATAATTCTCGTTGAGCATACCTGTACGCGCAGTGTTCGAAAAAGGATTAAAAACTAACCCGTGATTTTTAATTAAAGCTCTGTTAAATGACGAACGAAAGGAATGGAAAATAGAAAAATGCCGCGCGAGAAATTCAAGCGCTCGGGGATTGAAGATTCGAGGAGCGGGGGGGAAAAATTAAACATCGGAAATTGGAGCGGCGGAAGCTGCGTTCGGGTGGCGATATCTGCTCTCCGGAATAGGTATCTTTTTAGAGCAACCAACATGGCGGCCGTGCGAAATCTCGACGCTAATGGGCGGCTGCACGCGTGCTTGGACGCGGGCACCCGCGAGCGTGCATTACGCGCGAGGCAAGGGAAAAATCCGCCGTTAGCAAAGCGTCCGGTGGAATTCCCTTCGCTTTGTTCGCGGAGCCGATAATGAAAAACAGAGTTATTGGACTTCTGGCTATGCTTTGACACCTTTGAATGGATATTACACGTTTTGCGACCGGCAGAGGCAACGAGAAGCGCGGCTGCGGATGAAATTACGCGTGAAATGCCGACGCGGCTCGCCGAATATCGTCGCATGATTTTCGCGAAATTCGCTTCGTTTACTCGACAGCGACCTCAGAGAGAGGGAACGCGAGTCGGGATAACGGTGATGATTTTTTTCACGGTAATTGGCGACACGTTTCAACGTCGTTCTTCGACTTTTCCTCGTCGATGAGATTTAACCGCTCGCGATCTTGCTCGCTCGCGATTATGCGGACGCGAATGCGTCGTTGTGCGAACCATGCATTATCCCGGGAACGTATGGATACGAGGAATAAATAGAACTCTTCGCTTCGTTAGGAAAGTTTCGCGTGTCGTCTCTCCACGCCGGACTTTCTATGGCCATAACAGTTGACACGCGTATTTGCCGGTAGTTGGGAAAATGGCACGAATAAAAATTTTATCGCTTACTTTGTGTTACATTCGTTTATATCGCACCTCAATAAAGGAGCATTGTTATTGCCGGTGAAACACCGAGAAATTGAATAGAGAACTCGTTGGATGGAATTCGTAATTTCGCCGACGTTCGTTTTTTTCATTCGCAATATTTCCAGAATGCAGGATTTCCACACGCGTGACTCGAGCGACTTCATCGCGATCATCCGCGCGATTATAGGTTCGTCAATGTTTATCGATATTCGCACGTTACTAGCACGCGCGAAATTTTCGTTCATTTTTAATTTCGCGACCGCCCAGTCGTTCTCGAGTCGTCGAGTGTCCTCGCGCGAACCCTACAAACGCGATATCGAAGAAAGTACGAAAATGTAATTTATTTTTCAATCGCGTATAATTTAATCGCGATAAATTAATTAAACCCAGGGACAAAGCGATTTAACGAGTCACGCGTGCTTGTTTGTTACAGTCTGCAGCCAATTCAGCAGAGGGGTGTTCTCCATGCTGGGCGCCGTGAGTCCGGATTCGTTCGACACCCTCCACTCTTACAGCAACACGTTTCAGATGCCTTTCGTGACGCCCTGGTTTCCCGAGAAGGTAAATAGCATGCTTCCCGGGCTGGCTAAATAAAAACTCATAATATAGCCGAAGGGAAAATCGCATCGATGTTTATTCTCATCTCTCGGCCCCTATATATCCGTTTATTTTCACTCATCGGCCTTCCACGCTTATTTTTATCGCCTTTCCGAAGCTCGCTCGCGTCGATAAAAAGTTAACGCGAGCTTACGTCCCGTAAGTTCTTTCAGCGAAACGTCTTTCTTGCAACGTATAATTTCATCGACACCTCCGATGAAAATGGAAGCGCGCCTTTTACGACGACCGGGTGTAAAAGCTGGAAAGATTGATAAATTAAGTCCCAGGATCTTAATTCCTTGCCATCCGAGATAACTGTATATCCGAATTTAATATAAAATAATTCCTTTTCCTTATGTAAAATGGCGAGTGTGCGTGTGGATGCACGAGGGCGTTACTGAACGATTTGCGTTGCAAAGTATTTGGGATTGTACGAAACAAGACTGCATGCGAGCGTGTTTATTTCCTAGGTTTGGGTGAAAAGCGCGGGTGCCTGTTACCCGAGGTACGGGAGTGCACGATTGCATGTGTAAGAGTATTTAAGGATGAACGCAGCGAGTGACAGACAGTCCTGGTCTGGATCTTAAGACAGCGGCGAGATTGCGATTGTGATGCATGTTCATTTATAACGTTTTGTAGTCGTTAATTTATTTTTATATATTTATGTAAATACAGTTCTTATGATTTTTAATAAACATATGTCTCGACCTCGCATCCTCTATTCCCACAAATTATCCCTACCCTGTATTATTCCTATATATGTATATATCGGCATTCAGAGAGTACAATAATTACTTTCGTCATTACTTCGTCTCCCACCGAGACTCCGCGAAATACCGAACTCGATAAAACGAGTAACCCGCCGTGATAAAGTAACGGGCAAACCAAACCAACGAAACTTACCGGTCGTAACAACTAATGAACGCAAACGACCGGGTAAAAAGGGAAAAAGAAGAAATTAAATACGCGCATCCCCGACGTCGAAGAATGTCTCGGAAGTACCATAACCTCGAAGCACCGAGAGCGCGCGCGACTTTAATTCGACTTAATCTCTAATTTAATCACCCGACAAAAAACTTTTCCTCCTTCCGTTCCAACCTGCCTCGTAAACTGCTCCTTAACGACCATACGCACGTACACCCGGTTTCCGCGCGTCAGATTCGCAGAAATTCCGCGAGCCTTATCCTCGTAGCAGTCAAACCAGTTTTACTTTCGTTTCTCTTTCTCCCGAGTATCCTCCTCGTCGTACGAAAAGGAAAATCGGCGCGAGATCGACAGAGATTCATGGCGTTGGTCGATAATTACCGAGTCGCGGTAGCCGGATCGCCGCGCGCCCCTATCGCCGCGGCCCGCCCATAAATACATAAATATGTATGGGGTGTATACGAACATATTACAATTTGAATCTGGAAATGAATCGGGTCCGGTCGAAAATTTATTCGCCGCGCGGAATTGCGAGCGGCGCGACGCGTTTATCGGGTGGCGGCGCGGCAGCGCCACCTGCAAAACTGATATCGTACGTCCATATTGGATGAATGGCGGCCCCGTATATCCCGCGCGGATATAAGTGTGCGTTTTTATCCGACCGTGTACCGATTGTACGTGCACGGTAAGTACGCGCGTGCACGCAACTCGGCCGCGTAACGAACGTTCAGGTCGTTTAAATGCTAATCGCGCGGTAATGCTAATTCCGAAGCCCTCCCTTTTTTTTCCCTTCCTGTCTATCCGCCAGCCCCCGCGTCCTTCCGTCCCCCGCGGCCTTCCGTCCCCCGCGAACCTGCTGGTCAATTACGGCTCGCGGGGCGGACGGCCATTTGTAAGAGCAGATCTTTTTCAATTTCCAACCACCTCGCTACCTCCCGGTTACGACGTTATTTTTTCTCACTGTCACCCGCGAATCGCGTTCTTCCTCCTCGTTTTATCCCCCTCTACATTGCTCCACGCTCCCCCCTGGATACGTGGAGTACGGGATTATTCGGGTTGCACCGCGTGAGCGTGACTGAAAGTTGCTTCCGTGCTCCGAGGATCTTTAATGATCTGTCGCGGTTACTTTCGATCGCAGGAGCATCTCGTACAGATCGGAGATGAATTTACGCCATTTGTCGATTAATCACTCGAGCGTTTGGTTCGATAGTTCTAGTAGGTATGTACGTATCGCGGGGATTATTCCGATCGAATCCTTGGCGGATAACAGTTTAGGTTTGACAAGGAATAGACGTTGCTTGGGTAACTATAACAGGTTTATTTCAAGTAAAAGGTAGTACAATCGATAGTATGATATTTCGTCTAACAGATCCTCTCTCTCGGAAATTGCCACTCTACAAGTGCCTTCTCAGAATTCTCTCAGCGAGAACTGACAACTGCCCTTCACGCGTTTCTCTCACACCATATATACCTTTACGCATTCGTTTCCTGTCATTCCAATTCTTAACCTTCGGGAACATACCTAGACTTTCTCTGCCGTAAATAGTTCTTCCACTCGATCCTCTTACACGCGCTCGCAGGTATTAGTCTAAGCTGCGCATTCGTTATTTTGTCACTATGTCACAAACATTCTTCGTGTTCTCTCAGGCTCGTGCCTATCCCATTCCCTGCATATCGAATGAAGAGAAACGCGTCGATCGGTCTCAAACTATCATCCCCGACTCATCCGTGTCGTTTAAAAACGAATTCCGTGACGCGATCCTCCATCTAACCGACCGTTCGAGTTGCAAGAAACATTTAGCAGGAACGTATCCCCTGGCGAATAGCGCCGATGGCTCCGAGCAAAAGCGTAATTCGCCCGAATCGAGCGACAACTCGTCCAACATCGAGGAAAGTCGGCGCGAAACGGCCCAATATCGCGACGCGAAGAGCTTTCAAACAAGCCGCCATTCGCACGGGCGCGGTGTCGTAAATATTTACGATTGCATTTGCCTTGATGGCGCTTCCGGTCGGTTGTTCGCCGGTCGTCGGACTTCCGCTTTCCTTCGACCGGATGAAAATCTGAAACCCTCATACGTGTGCGACGCACACCGTGTTCCAGGTTCTAACGCCGTCCTCTCGTCTGCTGGATTTCGCCATAAGCATGCGTCCGGATTATCATCGCGCCATCATCGACACGGTGCGATATTACGGCTGGAAGAAAATCATCTACCTCTACGACTCCCACGACGGTAAGTCGCCGACCTTTCTCGTGCATTTCTCATTTTACAGCGGACCCCCGTAGGCACCTTGCGACCACACCTACGCGACCTTTCACAGGGTCGTTCCTATTTTTATCGTACCCGTTCAGGACCCGTTCTCGGTCCCCGGCTGCGACCGATACACCGGAAGTCGGCATAGGCCACGTTCACCGACACGCGTTCCAATCGAGATCGCGAAATGCTAATGGTCGCCGCGGGGAACCCTTGTTCCTCGTTCTTCGCATTTTTACCGGTAACTAAGTGGTGAACCGGTGGAACACTGTGTCTCGTACCACCTGTTCCAAGTCGAAGCTTTGCTTTCGGCTCGTGAAAGAGGGTACCGAGGAAGTCGCGGGAACTCGCAGCGTTTCCGAATTTGAATATTACGCGGATATTCGACCGAGTTTGAATTTAAACGATACGAATGGGCACGGTTCGGAAGTTTGCCGAGTATCGAGCGGGGTAGGGTAGACGGGAGAATGGCGATTGGAGATTTTGTTGGGTTCCTTTCAGCTTCGTACAGAGACTCGGAGTATAATTTTGGTTCGAAGTTTTGCTCGCACTCGCAACTTATCCGATACGTAGCTCGGGGTAATGCACGCGCGATGAATTATAGACAGTTTCAAGGTTATTATCGCTTAATGGAGAGTTCGGAATTTTCCATCCACCGTAAATCGAAGATACTTTCCCGCGGTGTTCGAATTTCAAATTTATTCATAGAAAGTCGGAATTTACATAGAAAGTCGGATGTTCGAGTTTTTCTCTGACCGAAATTCGTCGCTGTGTTCCCCGGGTATCAATAAGAGAGAAATATCGCGCAAATATCGGTCGTTTGAAGCTTCGCTCGAAAGTCGTAACGAAAATACGAAACGCGGCGGAGGACGATGCCTCGGCCGACGATATCTCGCGATCTAGTTAGATTTTTATGTATCGAAAACTTCGAAGGAAGACGCGCGAGTGTTAACGCGCCCCGGTGAATACGGTGATACGGGCGATCGATGATTCATTGGCACGAGACAAAATCAAAATGTACATCGCGGAGTAATAAATTCGAATTTTTATCATCGTTAATCTCGCGTTGACAGGTTCGATGAACGATTCGACACGAGGTATCAACAGTTAGCGATCGCGTTCATCGTTAATCTCATCCTGTCCCCTATCGCAGTGACCATTACGTAATAGTTGCTATTCCATCGTTTCGAATTTCTATTACGTCTTCCCGACGAAGGTTAAAATAACCTACGTTTCCGTACAATCGCTTACTCTCCGGACAAAAGTACACCGACGCGGTTCGACCGGGAAAAATCGGAACGAAAGATTAATCTTTTTCTCCGTTTCGAATGCCCGCTGCCTTTCCAGCTGCGATGCGAAACGAATATGTAACGGATAAACCGAGGAAAAAATAGGTTTATTACTCACGGGAATATCAAATTTCCATGGTCGAACCTCTGAACGCGTACACGGAAAGGAAATGCATTTGCATTCTTAACTACGACACTGTGTTAATTTTAATTTCATACCGACACGGTCTAGTAGTTGGTAAAAATGGGATTTTTCATCTCCGCCGTGGTGCAGTATGCAAACGAAAACGTGGGCGACATTGAGTCCCCCGACGTGTACGCTAGAAACCATGACACGGTATAACGTCCGTGTATTTTTCATCGCTTCACGAGACCTAATATCCTCGTGGAAATAAAAAAAGGAGCTCGCTTGTGTAGGTGCCGAACCGGTGCAAGAATCCGCGACCGACATTGAGCTCCAGTTATCCCGGCACCGAAAGAGAAAACGATTAATCGGAACCAAGGATGCCAGCTTTTTCAATAATCGCACGCGCGACTAACGATAATTACAGGCCATAAAGTTTATTGGCCGTATAATTCCGAGCCGTGTTAAATAATAAAATAAAGCGTGCAGATAAACAGAGTAAACATAGACGACGAATAAAAAGAAGCACCGCGACGAGTTCCGCGAGTTTCTCTTTGTTCACCGCGCTACTGGTCTCGCGGTATTGCGAATCCCGGGGATTCGCGTATTTGCGTACAGAGTGTCGCAAATATCGCGTACGGTAATCGCAGTGCAAAATTCAAGTGCAATTTTCGCCCTTTAATTTCGGGTAGAATCTTCGATCAATCCCGATTAATTCCAGAATTTATTTATCGACGGAAGAAATCGCAGTGTAAACGTTAATAGGTTAATTCAAATGTTCGAACCAATGACGATTTACTCGGCCCTTTGGACTCCTTCGTCGAGTACCCTCTCGAGTAACACTCGATATTTCATATCGATGTAACATGTTTTCCGCAATTGATAAAAGTAGAAATAAACGCCGAAGCTCAAGGATCGTTTAACTTCCGGTTGCACTCGATTCCTGGACCGTTCAGTACATCTATCACGGTTTAATTTATTTCAATGCCATTTAACATTCCCGCGACGCGAGGATCCATAAAGCAAACACCGAAGACGTGCGCGACGTGCAAATACTCGACAAGGAAAACCTTAAGCCCCGCACGCACGCACGCGGCGCCTGCTACGCGATTTTCCCGGTATCGTTTCCACGCGCGATCCGTTTTCCGCCTCGTTGGCTATCGTTTGAAGGTTCGAGGATATAATTTCGCCCCGAAGGTCGAGCCAGGCGCGCGCGCGCGATCAAGGCGACGTTTTTCCGCTTACTTTCTCCATTTGCGTAACTCGCCGATCATTTCGAGCGTTCATTTTCACGTTTTTCACCGGTGTAATTCGTCCAACGATCATTGCCCACTGCGATTACGTTCCTCCTCGACGTTAGTAGCGCCGAAAGCACCGCGACATCCGGTTGCTCGCGTTTGCGTCAGTGATCCGAGGTCACGACGTTCGAGGCTCCCGACTTTCTCTGATAAGCGGGATAACTGGTTGATACATTGTCGTTTGTCGCCGTCAGAGGTCTCTTCGTGGGTTATTTAAAAGCACTCGGAGGATTCCGGGTGAAATTATGACAAACACTGGACGAGGTGAATGCCTCGGAACCGCCAGACGAGAGACCGGTAATCCTCGTAATTCGCAAGATCAACTGACACGGAGAGTCTGTCGAAATTGTTTTCCACGTGCCAGGCGTTTCGTTCGCGACGCGAAAATCGCTCGTTCACTCGCGACAACGGTGCACCGCCAGCGTTCGAACGCTACGGATATCGCTAGATTACCATTAATAAATTAATACGACGTAAATCGTTTGCCGAGTTTCGCGCCGATTACCGCAATACTCCCGACGAGTTCTTAACCCGATTACCTTCGGCAGGTAGCGATCGCGTTGTAATCGCGGCTGCGCGAGATTCACCTTTAAGTCTTGCACAATAGACGCTCCTTCGACGTCGCATTGGCACGAGATCTAACATTTTCGCTGCTTCTATTCATCCTGCACATTTTGCTCGACGAGCGAATGAGCGTTTACAATCATCGATCGATTGTATCGCGTCGGCATTCGAGCCAATGAGCCAACGATATTCCATCTCGCCGACGATTAATTTATACGAACGACGATCGATTATCAAATTGTCGCGTGTCGAATTAACCCACGCGAAGGATCACGCGAGTACCATCGCGCATAAATTACCATCCGCGCGAAGCTCGAACGAATCGTCGTGAATTATCACAGACGCGTGTCGCGTTGCCACGTTCGCGAATTAACGCGCCTTTAATTATCCACCGATCTTGGAGAGGATCGTCTCCGCGGAGGTATCGATCCTCGAGTCCCTAGTCGAGCGAAACGGCGCGTTCCGCGACGAGGACGAGAATTTAATTACTTAACGAAGGCAGCGAAACGGTCGTTGGACCGAGACGATTAATCACCGACTGTCCCGTGACCGTTTCGTGCCTTACCGGTTCCAGTTTCGTTATAACTCGACCACAGAGTCGTCGTGCCGCCGAGCTGAGATTGCTCTTCTTCGACGAACGACCGATAAGAACGCTCGTCCAACCAACCCGTCCGGGTTTAATTACCGAATGCAAATGTAAATATACTTTGGGGACCATCGCCTGGCCATCGCGCGCAACCTCTCTGCTCTTCCTGTCTCCCCGTATCGCGGACGTCCTTTACGGCTTGCCCTTTACCCTCCATTTCAGCCTCCATAACGTCGCGCGACGCGATCCTACCCGATTAGTGCTAAAACGCTCACTGCGAGCGGCTGCAATTGTACAGGTGAATTGCGAGGCTTTAGCCCGGATTTATCGCTCATCCGTGTGTCTCCAGACGCTTCTTAGATCCATTCGCTCGCGTTTTAACGACCGACTCTGCGCACCGGGACCAGTCGCGAGAAACAAACCGAATATTCGAAAATCGAGCAATAAAATATCCCCTGTGCTTTTAAAACGCGTCGTATTTTGCCAACAGGTGCGAATAATTAGGTTCGCTTTCGGAAATTAATGCAACCGAGTAATCGTGCGAACGATAGTCTTGCTACAGCTCGAATGAGACACGGTAATTGGATTCCTTGAGATGGCGATTTTACTGTCGCGGATTATTACGATTCGTATTCCTTCGAATCGGACAGCTTCGTCGATAGCTAGGTCGATAGCTCCGAGAAACGATTTCGTTTCGTATTTCTTCGAATCCGGAGAATGAAATATGCATACGCGTATGCGCGATGCAGTAGCGATCCGCGAATCGATCGTGCTCGGTAATACCCGCAATCTCACCTATGCCTCGATTGCTCAATCGAACTCATTTACATGTTGTAATTACCTCTCTTATTCCGTGCGAACTTGTGACTTATCGTTACCACAAGCGCGTCGTTCTGGCTGGCCGAGCCACCTGGCATCCTACCATTATGTAAAGAATATACGAGATAGGACAGAGACGTAATATATAAATTATTATATACCGAGTGAATTTCCTCAAAACGAAATTCTCGCGTCGACACGGCAGTCCGTATTAATTAATTCGTTTATTTATTTAACGAGATGCAATTTACGAAGAACGCGTGAACGTACGAGCAAGTATAATACGAAAGGACATAAATGCGAGGCAATGATGGAAATAGAAGTCACGTATGAAAAGCGTAATAAATATTGCAACAAGGTGGACGCAAGGTAGGGCTAATCAACGTTCAACCTTCCACCATCTGTGTTACAATTTTTTTTCACTTTTTATCATAAATTCTGCATTCAGCGTTATCTCATTGGTCACTCGATTCCTCGATTTTTCATTTAATATCGTTGATATTTTTTCCAACGCCGTTTGCAATATCGCGTTATACATCTCCGTCTAGAAGACATTGACATATTTTGCAGCAAGATCTAATCTTCTCGAGAATTCATTAGCCGAGTTGCTCCAATTATACGCGTGAGATTTATCATCGAGTATGTAGAAACTTCAGGTTGAAAAAGCGATGCATCGGTTCCGATATCTCTCAAGGGTATCGAAATTCATTAATCGGACGATTAGAGAGCTAATTCCAATTGAAAAAGCGATGCATTTCTCGTATCGGTTCCGATATCTCTCAAGGGTATCGAAATTCATTAATCGGACGATTAGAGAGCTAATTCCTTCGTCGGCGAGCGCGTAAATCACGCGAAAGGAATCGAGGTACGATACAGCTCTCCTTGCAGAGGAATCGAGAGAACGCGTGTGCAACTTCCGCATAAGTGCGTTACAGTCTCGTGGAGACGTTATATCTGGTCGTGTGAGAGAACGAAACGGGGATCACCGAAAAATGTCTGCAACCTGGCCGTAATTGCAGGACGCGTGACTCGCGGGGGCCCATCCTCCGCGAAAAAGCAATGAAAACCAGATCCGGCAGGCTAGCTGACGCGTCTCTCTAGAACTGCATTCCTGTTTGGTCAGTTTAGTCAACTTTGCTTCTTCTTATTCGAACCGTTCCGAGACCCGGCCTCAGGACTTCCCATGCCCGTGCACGTTAACAGATAACCGCGCGTCACGTGATTCATCCTCAAGGTCACGTTACCGTTGAAGGTCCCTACCGCACGAAACCGAGACGTAGACGATGTTCGTCCCCGGATCGCGGACCATCCGGGATCGAGAATTGCGAAAGAGGCGATCCGCGACCGGTGGTACCCTTCGGTTTAGGCCACTCGCGAAACGCGTTCCTATCCTGGTCGAACCGTCAAGAATTGGCCGTTCAAGGCCACCGAGTTAGTGAACCCCTGGTTACGCTCGGCTCACTTTTTCTCTTCGCTTTGTTCGAGACGGAGGCAGAGTGTTCGGCAAGGATCAGAAAGAGTGCAAGAGTGGCCGCGCGATAGCTCGTGTTCCGCGTAACCGTGCTCGTTGCCGATCCTCCGCCAGCTCCCTCGTCGCGCCTTTTCACTGCAGAATACGCTCTTGGACGTCCCTCTTCCACCTGACGAACCGTCGGAGGTGCCGCTGGAAAAACGTTTCGCTCGAAACACGGTGAGTTTCAAACATTTCTCGCTCGAGACCGAGTATTTTTCGCGAACGGGAAACAACCGAGCACGCGCCAGCGTTTCTGGGAAACGCGGCGGGATCCGAAATCGAGGAAACGAGATTCCGAGCAAAGAAAACCGCGATTCGTTTAATTTATCGGTCATCGCGTGCCGACAGTGAGTCGTACGGTTGATCAAGTGTTCCGGATATTTGGAAGCGTAACGAGACGCTGCGATTTTCTTCTTTCGCCGAGATTCTCGCGTTTCGCGAATCTTGACAGCGCGTAGACCCAGACCTCTTTTGGTTCTACCACACGTCGAAATTGCGAGTTTCTAATCGTTACGACTGTTAGTTGCACAGTGTTAGAATACTCTGGTAAGTGTTCTGTATATTTTCGAGTACGTCGGGACAAAGATGGAGCGTTTGACAGAGACGCGTTGCGTGCATGTTCATAAAGGCAATGAAATCGAAGCAGAGATTGGAAAATTATCGCAATTTCGACGCTCGAATCGCGCAATTGTGTAAACGGGATAGCATTTGCGAGTGTTGTATGAAATACGTGGAAATTTGAAAAATATTCCATCGAAAAATAAAGCTGCATTTAACGGAACGTTGTTTCTGGTTGCACCGCAATCGGTAATTCGAAGGAAGGAATTCGGCAACACTTGGATACACATTTTGACGTAAATGTTGATCCTAAAGGGAACATTCGGAGTAACAGAAACGAAGGAAAACGAAGGAAACTGAAGCTTACTCGAAATTACGATATTTCATTCATAAACGTATCAAAAAATCGAACGAAACTGTGCCAATTTTCCAGATAATTATTCCGACACTCGACAAAGTATATAAAAAATTAATTGATTTATCACACGTGGCTTACTACGTTTAATTAAAATACTCATCGCTGATCTTGAATCCGGTCGAACGACTAGTCTTCAATTATGGACAGACGCAAAAGCGGCACGAGGAAATATTCAATTTCATCGTTAAGCGTAACATTTCGACAAGAATATCTCGGAAACATTTCGGTCCCAGGTGTTTTACATAATGGCCACGAATAACCACGACTGGTCTGACGTTTCCACGGTAAGAAAAATATTAATTCAATGGAAATAACAACGAAATCTGGCCACTAAGTAAATTATTTTTCCTAGTTATCGTACGTATCGTAGATATTTCAGGTGGTCAGAGGTACTCGCTCGTAATCATTAAATAATCAGTCAATAAAGAACACCGTTCATTATCGTGATTTTACAACTCGCTGTAAATGTCGCCTCGTAGCTGACAAGCGACAGCCGACAACTTTTTCCCAGTTGAGACATTGATCTTACACTTTCTTACCATACATTGATAAATCTCTTCCAATTTCCTGTTATAACCTACCTTCCTTAGACTTTTAGAAACTTAGCGTATTGAAAAATTCGAGTAAATAGTGTTCCACACACTTTCCTCGAAACTCCATTTTGTCTCAAACAATTGAGACTTCGATCTCGCAATTTCTCACCAATTTTTACAAATACCTTCCAATTTCCCGTTGAAAAATTCGAGTAAATATCTGCGAAATTTTTCACACACTTTTCTCGAAACTCCATTTTGTTTCAAACAAAAGTATCACATCGAGTAACAATTTGCCCCAAAGCTGGTCCACGGACTCATCCTTTTCTCGGAAGCTTTAATTATTCGTCGCGAAATCGAAATACTCGAATCCCCCGACTTCCTTTGCACAGATGAATCCGCGAAAGGAGTTTCCAAGGATGCTCGTCGATCGGTTTTACCTCCTTTTTTTCCCATCGTCGACCAGTTCTCTCGCGTTGGTCGCAATTAAATCCTGGGGAAGAACAGACCGCGATGACCACACGCTTCTCTCTGTTCTCTCTACCGGAAAACGGGTCTTCCGTTGGTCGAAACGCTCGGGATCGATGGCGAAGCTTCGAACCAGGTGTTTCCCCGATCTTCCTTCCCTGTCGCCTTCGACTTTCGCCGTTGACGCGCGTGTCGACGAAGGTTCTTTAACGAAGTTAGTCGCGGAGAGGATCGCGGGACGAGTAATTAACGTCGTTGGAGCGTGGCGGTTCGTAAAAGCGGCAGGTAGTGGGATTAGGACAAAATCGAGCCGCGTGTTCCGCTCGTCTACGATATCGAGGCCGACCTCAGTTTCCTCCTTCGTCGTCTTCGAGGATGAGATCGACGCTGACTCGCGTACGACGTCGTCGGTTTCTGTGATACGCGCGCGTGTCTGTCGCGTGCTCCGATCATCTCGGAGGAGATCGTTGGATCGTTGACAGGAAGAAGGTGAAAGCCAGCCTGGGAGCAGCCTAGCCGAAAGATTTCTCTATCGAGCTCCTGTACCGCGGTTCCGACGAAGGTACACCCACGGAAGACATAGGAAAAGCAGCGGACGGAATAGGAGACACGCAGCAGAGGAGACCTTGTTCCGAGTCGTACTACTTTCTAAAAAAGGTGCCTCGAGTGTCACTGGGTTGTCTCGCAATCAGCCTCGTTTCAACACGGTAACTCACGCTTCCTACATTTCGTCGCGTTTTACAGGTGTCGCGTCGAGTTCCTCGTTGCTTGCTCCTTGCTCGGGGTTTTGTTTACGATTCGCTATTCGACGTCGTGCGAGCCGCGAGAATCGTGTCTCTAGTCATTCGCGTGGCATAGTTCTCCGCTCTCGGATGTTTGTTTTGAATCGAACTGCCGGATGTATTAGGGCGATCGACGAGTCGGCTTAGTCGAGCACGTGGCTATATTTTGCACGTCGAGGACACCGAAAGCTAGGGTACCGCTCGCGCAGTAGCACCAGGATCGCCCAGGAGACTGGTATTCTCGATAGACTGCCGCTTTTACTCAGACCGTTTATCCACGGTAATTTCACGCTGCGTACAGGATGCTTCGTCGAATACGGATACAGTGGGCGTGTTGAGGTAATTGAAAAGTAATCGAGTGAACGTTTATGCGACTCGACCTTGCGTCTCGATAATCCTCTTCGCCAGTCTAACGTGTCAGCTTGCTGTTTCTTACGGTATACTCGTATACTTATCTCCTGATCCATCTAGCTGCCCGTTTCCAGCTACTTTCGTATTCTACGTATCCATTAATAGTTTCAACAATGAAATTACCGATCGTTCGTTATTTCTACTATTTTTCTCCATCGACCGGTTCGCGCACCGTTCTTTTATGGGCCCTAATCGCACCTGTATGTACCATTTGCTCCGTGGAAAGAACCGAGAACCGAGGCGGTGTCGCAACTTTCAATTTTCTCGCAACAATCTGCAACGAAATTTCGCTTGAAATTCGGTCGACGGTAGAACTGCGACTCGCTGCGACGTTGAGAAGAATCTTAAGTAAGTTTCGGAGAATCCTATTAATCGAGGATTCGATTAAATTCGAATAATTAAACTCTCGACGCGATAATGATTGGTTGCAGGAGAAATTTTTAGGATTATTTAAATTTCAAGAATTCGGAGGGAAGAAATGTGAAATATCGGAATGGAAGAGTCGATGCAGAGGCTCTGCAACGCCCGCGAGTATTCGATTATCGCAGAGCACGTTCACGCATTGCATAAGCGAGATTACGCCGGTAGCGTGAATCACTTGGTCCAGAGACACTACTCGGGTCGTGGTTCCAGTAAAAAGAGACCTTCGATTTCCTCCGATCCACATTGTACAACGGAAAAAGTAACGTTAATAGCCTCTGAACACCGGCTAGCACGACCGAGATAAAGGGGCATTGGAATTTTTCTGCATGCGGGAAATGTTGCTAACACCTCGTGCGCCTGTTGCCGTGTATCGTAATGACGAAATAAATAATGCCGTAGGAATCCAAATACCGCCGCTCTGTTAATTACATTCCGACCGTCATTGGCAATTTTCGAATGCGCGCGCGGAAGCAGTAAAATTCGCCACGATGTAGGTAACCAGGTAGATAACGCTGACCACGTTTAACATAAAATACCTCGTTACTTCTACGTCCAATTTAGAAATTGAAAACCACTCGGTAAGTTCGTGCACTTCGTTTCATTCCGATAAATATTGGTGACTTTTCAGATTCAGGATTAAAAACGGGATCGGAAAAGGAACGTTGAAGGTGGTATACCGAATGGTTGGATGTTGAATCAGGCTAGGTTATGCCAACTCGACTAACTCAAAATTTCTCGATACTCGGTGACTGCTGTTTGAAAATTAAAAATGGCACAGTCAAACGTTCGATTTCGTTTATTTTCGGTAGATCGAACGATTTCGGGGGTTGCGAATGGTTAAAGGGATATAGAATAGGGACCAAGGAGCTCTAGATGATTGGTTGGATGTTGAAATAGGGTGAGTATCTGGATTTTAAGCATTTCCGTTGTTGCTCATCGCAGTTTTATTATTTACATCGCGAATCATCGTTTTTGTTATCGACCGAAACTCCACGTGCATGCCTCGTCGTCGGTCCACGCGTTATCGTTACGTTGATCTCGGTGACGTAATTGGCACTAGCCCCGGTCACATTTAATTAATTGCCACTTCGCGATTCACCATCGCGAAATACCGGCCCTGTCCCTTTCGTCTTTGCCACCAATTTATATTTCTTCTTTTATTCCGTAGACGTTTCCGAAGAAGAAACTATGGAATAGAATTGTTAAAATACCTTTCAATTCGATCAGATAGAGAAAATATTCTCCTGTAACGTGTTTGCAGTGTTTCGCCGTCATTTTTTACAGCCACAGAGCTTCTTTATCCCCGACAGTACCGTAGCTAGACGTAATCGAAGCATCAAGAAAAATGCAGCTACCATATAACGTAATTATAACGTATTTATAACGTAATTATGACAAACGCCGCGAGTTTTAGTATCACGTAAAAATATGTATTAAACTGCAGCAAAATGTAATGCATAGAACGAATCCGGTTAATTAAACACGATAAACCCCCCAATGCAACCCGTTGATACAGCCCTGATACCTTCGATAAGATAGACAAGGATAGAAAATCCAAGCGACTTCGATCAGCGCCATCTATGATTTTGGACCAAATGCTCGGAAAAGTAATAGGAACATAGAATGCGCAAGGAGGTCGTCTATACCTCGTCACGTGATAGACAAGGACAGAAAGCGGCGAGAAAAGGATAGAATGGATTCGGCAGTGAAAATTAACTAATTACTCAATCTCCGTGAATAATTTATGAACATTTATAGCCTTATAGCAAAGCTGAAACTCTGAGCAACATTCATATGCTACTTTTGTACATAATTTGTTGCTAATTTGATTGTTATTAATAATTATTTGATGGCGTGGGTAATTTGAAGACAACGCCGAACTCGAATGTCGGTCAAAATATTTAATTATCTTCAAAACTAGGAGAAAAATATGATCGAAAGTAATACGAGAAAATGCGCAAGAACATTGTTTTTATAATGAATGCATAAAAGTCAGAAATTAATTCCTCGAAAGATAGTTATTAATGAGAAACCATTGAAATATTCGGCAACATTTTAAACACTCGACGAAATAAATATTAATAATAAATTAATTTAGGAGAAATTATTATCGAAAGTTATATGAGAAAGTTCGCCAAGGATCTGCCTTTACGATGCAATTATAAAAGTTCATAAATTAATCTCAGAAATCGTGTAATTTGTTCATTTTCTACTGGCTACTATACTAACCAATGTTAGTAACCTATTCAAGCAACCCACGTGACATGGAAGGCGGGATATATGAAATGATAAAACGACATAAATAAGTATAACACATTTTCCTCTAATCTTTTTATTCTTTTAACACTTCCATACAGCTTTTTACATTCTTTAACAAATTTGGACCGCTCAGTGGTTTAATTAGACAATCAACATTCGCTTCTTTATCTGGCACGTAACAAATTTGCAAGTTCTTAGTTTATATTATGTCTCTTATATAACAACATATTTCTGTGTAAGAGCTTAGATTTAATTTTCTACATTTGCAAGTTGTATCGCATTCAACCTGTCATACAGCACAATCTTTCTCACCTCCTTTCCCACTCTTACTTCATATATCAGTCTATATATCTGCACAACTTCTTTAATTCCTATTAATACTTCGATCTCACTTTCAATTGATGACAGAGCTACCACGCTTTGTTTTTTACTATGCTAATGCTCCAAGAGTTGACCCATATGTTACCTCGTTTATGTTTTCTGATTCCACATAATATTTATCTCCTTTTCTTACTGCTTTCATTTGAACTTCCCCATTTTCTTTATATGCTTCAGCACCATCATTCTAAAACTTAATACATTAACACTGGTCATTGCCTTTGATCACCAATATCAAATTTCTATTCATATTAGGAACACGCAACATACCTTTCAATCTTCCTATATTTTCTATATCTTGTTATTATAAGAGAACATCACTTGAATTAATCTTATTCTCCTTTGATCTGCCAAATCCATCTCCCTTTTCTGAATCTTGATTTTACCATTTAATATTCCCGTCCTGTATGTCGTATGGCCACCTGATCTAGAATCCAATAGCCACATTAAATCTTATATACTTGTATTATTGCTTCACTTTTTTCTTACCATAAGAAATAGCTATTGGCATTTAATAGCTCTACGCTGTTGATATTCCACGAAGCCAATATCTTTCTCCTGTTGCATGTGCCTGTTTATTTTAAGAGAATATTGTCTCTTTACAAGTAGGCTCTCCTATCACTAATAAAAGACAGAAAAGCAATGCCTTGTGTCTCATGCTATTTATTTACAGCTGAAGGTTATGTTAATACAAAGACTTACTTACATTCTTTTGCATGATGCAACCACATCTCCATGAATACAAAAATGCTTCCCGCGTTTTCTTTCCAATCTTTTCTCATTTCCCATGCAGTCATCTGTTCGCTCAAAGAAAAATTAACAAATTGCCCAATTTCTGTGATTAATTTATGAACTTCTATAATTGTGTCGTAAAGACCTACCTTTGCAGATTTGTCATGCGCCAGATAAAGAAAGGAATGCTGATTGTCTAATTAAAACCAGTCAGTGGAATGAACTCATTAAAGAATGTATTGTATCAAACTTTATGGGGAGGTTAAGTGAATAAAAAGAAGGGAGAAGAATGTGTGATAGTTATTTATGTCGCTTTATGGTTTTATTTATCCCGCTCGTCACGTGGTTTCAAGCGATCTCCTGGCGCCATCTGTCATCATTTTACCGAACCTGTGGTTCGAGTCCAAAATGGCACAGATTTCAATTGAAATTGGAATCAGTACCCCAGTAGAAAATTAACAAATTGCACGATTTCTGAGATTAATTTATGAACTTTTATAATTGTATCATAAAGGCAGATCCTTGGCGAACTTTCTCATATAACTTTCGATAATAATTTCTCTTAAATTAATTTATTATTAATATTTATTTCGTCGAGTGTTTAAAATGTTGCCGAATATTTCAATGGTTTCTCATTAATAGCTATCTTTCGAGGAATTAATTTCTGACTTTTATGCATTCATTATAAAAATACTGTTTTTACGCATCTTCTCATATTACTT